TGTGTGTGTCCGTCTGTGTGTGCGCGCGCGCGTCTGTGTGTGTGTGTCCGTCTGTGTGTCCGTCTGTCTGTGTGTGTGTGTCCGTCTGCATGTGTGCGCGCGCGCGTCTGTGTGTGTGTGTCCGTCTGTGTGTGCGCGCGCGCGTCTGTGTGTGTGTGTCCGTCTGTCTGTGTGTGTGTGTCCGTCTGTGTGTGCGCGCGCGCGTCTGTGTGTGTGTGTGTGTCCGTCTCTGTGCGTCTGTCTGCGCACCCGCACACCCGCACACGCCCGCCCGCACCTCAGAGGCCCCGGGCTTGCGGGCGGGCGTCCGGCCGGGGAGACGAGCCGCGGTCCCGGAGGGTGTCAGGTAAACCGGGAAGCGGCGTCATCTGCGATCGGATGTTTTAGGCGACGGGACGCGGACAGCAGCGGTGACGTCATGGGAAGGACACGGATTTTTTCTTCGGTCCCGACCACCGGCGCGTCGGTCTCCAGACCCGCGCTTTCGCGACAGAAGAGTCACGTCGCCGCAGCGTTGCTCACGGCCCGGCCGCCCCGCGGAGAGAAGGCGCGGCCGCTTCACGCGAAGACGCGCTCAAGACCGCGCGGCCTCGAGCTGAGAGAAAGAGTCTGTGGTGCGCGGGGCGCCTCGGGCGGTCCTGGAAACTCCGGCGACTTAAAGACTTTCACGAGGCTGGAAACGGGACGACTGAAGTCGGTGATACTCTTCGGATTTTGTTTCTCGTGCTTTCCCGGGTTCTCTCAGTACAGTAACCGCAGCGGCCTGAGCACGGCTGAGGACTCAGGAAAGAAGTAAACGGCACCGCCACACGACCGCATCTCGCCGAAGGGCGGGTTCCTCTGAGGCTGGGTAGAGCGGTCGTCCCGGAACCGCGGAGCGCACGTCCCAGCACGGAAGACGGACGGTAACACCGCCGCGGGGCCCCAGCGTCCGCCGCCGCGCGGTTCCGGGCCGGCTTGAACGCCCGTCTCTGGTCTCCGCCCCTTTTCCTCTTGCTCTTTCTAATCCTTCCCCCTCGGCCAATTCCTGAGAGGAACCCTCTTTCGATTCTTCCACGTGGAAGCGTAGGACGAATTTCGTCCACACCATCCGGAATGGCCAACATGGCGGCCGCCGTAAGATGCCTCGGTAGAGGTAAAGCGGGGCGTTCTCTGGGCTTAGGAGGGACAGCAGCTCCGGTGTCGGGGCTGCGGTTGTAAGCCGGACGCTCCTAGCACGGTCTGCACTGGGGGCTCGAAACGCTTCTCAGGGCTCTAGGTTCTCCAGAGAGTTATTACTTAAAAGCGATCCTATCGGATACTTCACTTCTTTCTGGAGCTGTCCTTCGTAGGGGTGTCGTGGGAGGGGGTGTGCCCGGCCAGCCCGCCGGCCACCCTTGGGGACGGAGGCAAGGACGCGGTTCCGTCTCCACCCGGGTGAGAGCTGCGCGGGGAGCCCCGAGTGCAGGAGGAGCTGCGGTTAGGGATCCGCGGGGAGCCCCGAGTGCAGGAGGAGCTGCGGTTAGGGATCTGCGTCCGTCAAGTCTAACATGTTACCGAATGTTTGTTCGTGCGTTGGGGGCACGTCGGTGCAGGCAACTCTGATTCTTTTTCTTTTAAATAATAATTTTTTATAAACATATAGTGTATTATTAGCCCCAGGGGTACAGGTGTGTGAATCGCCAGGTTTACACACTTCACAGCACTCACCATAGCCCACACCCTCCCCAGTGTCCATGACCCCACCCCCCCTCTCCCTAACCCCTCCCCCATCAACCCTCAGTTCGTTTTGTGAGATGAAGAGTCCCTTATGGTTTGTCTCCCTCCCGATCCCATCTTGTTTCATTTAAAGCAGTTCTGATTCTTAAAGCGCGCAGACGTCGTCTAGTTCGCATCAGCATTTATCATTTGGAGACTAATTGTGTGGTGCTTCTTGGTAGCTCTTTTCCGCAGTTGTTAGACTCTGTTGTCGAGGACGACAGCCCTTTTTCGGTTACAATGCTTTTTTTTCTTATACAGTGCTTTTTAAATTTTTGTTTTGTGTTTTGGAAACATTGATACATACTGTTGTTTAATTAAGGTGGCCCTTTAGGGGAAGCGCAGCCGGCATCACTCGTTTCGCGGAGGAATAAACCGATCAGTGGAGATACGTAGTAGCGCTCCTAGAACTAGTAAGTGGAGGGCAAAACTGAAGCTTCCCTCCTAGGGATTTTTTCCTTTTTTAAAACTACATCCTAGTTTTCTCTTTGAGCTTCTCACAGGAACGCCTAGTGTCAAGACAGAATTCTCTGTTTGGCCTAGTTGTTTAAGACCCGGTAACGACTAAGCGAGCAAACCAAAAAGTGTACCTTTACTGGAAAGAGTTACAGTGTTTTCTTCATGTATGAGAGAAATAGCATTATATTAGACAAGTCAAATAAACCAAAAAGAGAGCTGAAGATTATCGTTCTCTCCTTGCCATGTTTTTTTCTCTTGGTTACTAGGATTCCTCACTGTCTTGATACTATTTTTATATCCCCTGTCATGTCTGACATTACTTTGCTGGTTCCTCCTCCTCTCCCCAATCTCTTACCTTGCAGTGTCTCAGGAGCCAGGATCCTGTCTTTCATCCTTATGTCTTTTGTATATAAATTCACTCCTCTGCTGATTTCATCCACGTCTTCTGGCTTTCACTATTTTCTATATTGTGATCGGCTCTCAAACTTAGAGTTAGGACCTCTTTCGAACTTTCGATTCTTGAACTCATCTGCCGATTCTAATCTCCACTTGTATATCTCATTAGCACTTAGCATTTGTCTAAAATTGGACTCATTATAGCGTGCAGTCTTCCCCATCTCATTGGATGGTAACCTCATCCTTGGTCTGGACCAAAACCTCAAATATCCTCAACTCCCCCTCCTTTCCCCACACTTCACATTAATTAGTTGACAAATCCCATTGGTTTTACCCTTGGAATAAATCCAAAATCTAACTTCTCGCTACACTACAGCAACTGCCGTGTATGCCATTACCATTCCTTACCTGGATTTCAGTATATGCTCAACAAGTAGTAAAATTGGTCCTTTAAGAACCTGTCATGTTACTCTTATGCTTGAAACTCTGCAAAGCCTCCCCATTTTTCTTAGTCCTTAAAAATGGCCTATGGTTGTGCTGTCTTTATTGTTATCCACTGTTGAGCACTTCAGATGTGGTTAATCTGAATTGAATGTGTCAAATACACATTAGATTTTAAGGACTTAGTACCCAAAAAAGTAAAATACCTGAATTTTTTATATTGGTAACATGTTGAAATATTATTTCAAAATATAATATTTTGGAGTATTGGCTATAATAAAATGTGTTAATCTTAATTAATTTCACTGGTTTCTTTTTTACCTTTTTTAAATGTGGCTATTAGAAAATTTAAAATTATATATGTGGTTTATATTCTACTTCCATTGAACAGCCCTGGCCTAGGGTCCTCGTATCATCTTGTGCCTGCCTTGTAACCCTGCCCCACCCTTACCCAGTTTACCTCTCTGACCTCATTTCTGGCTACCCACCCCCTCACTCTGTGTGCTCTAGCCACACTGGCTTCCTTGTTTCCTGATCAACACCAGGAACATTTCTGCCTTGGGAAGACTTTCTCCAGATGGGATGAGGGTTCAAGACCCTTTTTCTAGGTATTTGTGTGACTAATTTTCTCATATCTTTCAAGTGTTGGCTCAGGTGTCACCTTTTTGATGAAGCCTACCTTAACAATCTTACTTAAAAGTGCAGCCCACTTTCCCCTTGACTCTCCATTTTAACCACTGGGTTCCCCCCATCACTACCATTTTGTGTTTATTAGTGTTGTCTCCCTTCACTGGGATGTAAGCTCCATGGGGACAGGGATTTTTGTCTGTTCACTAAATGTTTAAAGTGGTGCTAGCACGTTTCGTTGGCATATTGTGTAGAAGAATGAATAAATCAATGGACCTACATTGTAATGCCACCCCTCTTCCATGTGTTGTAACTAATAATACTTAAAGTAATTCGAATGCAGTTTTTGCTTTCATTTGTTCAAATTTCCTTCCCTCCATTCAGTGATGGTGAATAAGCTATACACATTCCCTCCCCGTGATGCTTATCTTTTATGAGGTACAGGCATGAACTGGTTAATTATTTTCTTTAATTACAATTGTTCTAAGTGATGTGAGGGAAAAGTACAAGGTGCTGTAAGAGTGTTTGTGAGAGACCTAGTCTGTCCTGAGTCTTCAGGGAAAACTTCTGAAGAAGTAGTTTAACAGAGTCCCTGGAAGATCATTGGCTAATTAGGAATTAGCTCTGGAAGGGGGAGTAGAAGGTGATAGGGGAGAATGTTATAGATGGAGGGAAGATTATATTTGAAATACCAAAGTGGTTAAAAAATTACAGCGCGTTTAAGAAACCGAAAGGATGGGGCGCCTGGGTGGCCCAGTCAATTAAGTGTCTCCCTTCGGCTCAGGTGATGATCCCAGAGTCCTGGAATTGAGCCCCGCCTGGGCTCCCTGCTCAGCCCAGAGCCTGCCTCTCCCTCTGCCCTCCTGCCTCTCCCCACTTGTGTGTGTGTGTGTATGTGTGCGCGCGTGCGCCCACACGCACGTTCTCTCTTTGTCTCTGTGTCTGAAATAAAATCTTAGAAAAAAAAAGAAGCTGAAAGGAGGCCAGTGTATTTGAAGTACAGCAAGCGTGAGAAAGAGTCGTATTAGATCAAGTTCACTATAGGTTAGAAGTACCTCGTGGAGGACCTTGTTAGGAAGTTATTCAAAGAACAAGGGGAAGCCATCCAGGTGTTTTAGGGATGTGATGATATTTTCATTTTTAAATGATCCCTCTTACTAGTAGGTAGAAAAGAGGTGGAGTAGACCAAGAGTGGAATATCGAAGGGTTTGGAATTTGTTGCTGTAATCCTTGTAGTAGGTGAGGATGGCCTGGACTATAACGGGTGTAGTGGGAAGGAAAGACTAGATGGTAAGATCTCCTAGGGAAATTGAGGATTGTGGAACTCTAGTCTTTCAGTATCAGATACAAGAAACAGCTAGGAAAGGAGGTGGAGTATTTCCCATCTCACTGCCAAGGGGTTGGGGTGGGGCTGGGAGTGACTTTTGAGAACCAATACAGATGCGGGAAGGTTCCTTAGTCGTTGAGATAATTCTCTTCTCTCTGAAGTAGCAAGTGAGGTTATCTGCAAAGAGTGAAGGGAGAAGAAGTGTGTTAAAGGAGTGTGATAATACAGGTAGACAAAATGACCGCAGAGGGATTGAAATACAGATATGGTCCAACTGTGCTATCTGAATATAGTTGACCCATGAACAGTGTAGGGATTAGGGGTGCGCCCCCCAACCCCAGGCAGTTGAAAATCTGCATAATATTTTTTTTTTGTTTCTTTCTTTATTGAGTCTAACCCCCAGCCAGGGAACAAGGACAGACCGTGATGACTGTCACACACCCTCCCTCCCCACTCTCTGCCTTAATTTTGACTCCTCCAAAACAGAACTACCAATAGCCTAATGTTGATGGAAGCCTTGCTGATAACAGTTGATAAACACTTACTTTGTATGTTCTGTGTATTATATACTGTATTCTTACAATAAAGTAAGATAGAGAAAAATGTTATTAAGAAAATCATAAGGCAGAGAAAATACATTTACAATACTGTACTGTCTTTATTGAAAAAAAAAAATCTCTGTATAACTGGACCCACACAGTTCAAACCCATGTTGTGCAAGGGTCAGCTATAGTGGTATTTTTGTAATTTGGTTTTTATTAGTGTGTCACAGTTTCATAGCTTTCTGTTGAAAAGCATAATTTCTGGTTGTCATGATTTGGGATTTTAAATAATAGTGGTTGATTGTTTTATAGTAGTTTGCAGTTGATGTATTCAAGAAAATTATTATTCTGAGGATCTTACCAAGGTTGTTGGGTTCTTGTTTAGTGCAACTAGAATTATTGTTTATTGTTTGGAAGTGTTTGCCAAACCTTGAATGGTTCATTGCTGTTCCTTCATTTACTGTGTGTGATTTTTTGAAGGTAGCTGGCTTCTTTGAAAATGTGGAGGATCTCCTCTTAAATTTTTGCGTACAAGCATAGCCCACTGGATTTGAGATTTTTGAGGGCGCCCTCTTCTTCCTTAGCCCTTAAAACCCCTTGTGGTTA